TGTTCAGCAGAAGTTTGTGGTTACAGGAAAGTGGGTGCGGGGGGGAAGAGGAGCGATTGGTGGAATGATGATGAAAAGAGAGTAGTAAGGGAGAAAAAGTTAGCATATGAGAGTTTTTACAAAGTGAAGTGATGCAAGGGGGGAAAAGAGTATATGGAGAAAAAGAGAGAGGTTAAGAGAGTGGTGAAGCAATGTAAAAAAAAAGAGCAAATGAGAGAGTGGGTGAGATGTTATCAAAAATTTTGTTGAAAATAAAAAAAAGTTTTGGAGTGAGATTAAACAAGTTAAGAAAGCTAGAGAACAAATGGTTTTGTCATTTAAAATAGGAGAGGAGAGTTATTAAATGGAGAGTTAGAGGTTTTGGGGAAAGATGGAGGGAATATTTTGAGGAATTGTTAAATTGTTGATGAAGATAGGGAAGCTGTGATTTTCGTGTATAGGGCAAGGAGGAATACATCTGTAGGAGTGAGGAAAGAGCAGTTGTGGGGTGTGGGGAAGTTCGTGAGGCAGTAGGTAAAATTGAAAGGGGGGAAAGGCAGCGGGGATTGATGGGATAAAGATAGAAATGTTAAAAGCAGGTGGGGATATAGTTTTGGAGTGGTTGGTGCAATTATTTAATAAATGTATGGAAGAGGGTAAGGTACTAGGGATTGGCAGAGAGCATGCATAGTTCCCTTTTTATAAAGGCAAAGGGATAAAAGAGAGTGGGAAAAATTATAGGGGGATAAGTCTGCTGAGTTACCTGGTAAAATGTATGGTAGAGTTATTATTGAAAGAATTAAGAGTAAGACGGAGAATAGGATAGCAGATGAAAAAAGGAGGCTTTAGGAAAGGTAGGGGGTGTGTGGACCAGGGTTTACAGTGAAACATATAAGTGAACAGTATTTAGATAAGGCTAAAGTGGTCTTTGTGGCATTTATGGATTTGGAAAGGCGTATGACAGGGTGGATAAGGGGGCAATGTGGCAGATGTTGCAAAATGTATGGTGTAGGAGGTAGGTTACTGAAAGCAGTGAAGAGTTTTTACGAGGTAGTGAGGTAAAGTTAGGATGTAGGAAAGGGGGAAAATTTATTTCCCATAAAAGAAAGCCTTAGCAAGGATGTTGATGTCAGTGGTTTTTTAATATATTTTAGAGGGGGTTTTTTTGTAAGAGAATAAATGGGGAGGGTCTTGAAAGAGGCTTTGGATTTAAAAGATAAAAATCACAATAAAGTGGGGTTTTGCACAGTTCTTTGTGATGACACTGTGTTTGGGAGATTCTAAACAGAAGTTGCAGGTTTTGGGGATGAATTTGGTAGGGTGTGCAAAAGAAAAAAATTTAAAGGTGAATCGGGAAAGGTGGTTATGAGGATAACAAAAAGATTAGGTATGAAAATTAAATTCAGATTGGAGGGGAGAGTATGGAGGGGGTGAATGATTCAGATTTTGGGAGTGGCGTTTCAGCGGAGGGGTTTTTAAAAAAGTTTGAGGTGAATCATAAAATTGATGAGGGAAAAAGAGTGGGGGTGATTAGGGTCTGTGGAGACAAAAAATTTTGTTGGAGGAAAAAGGGGGGAATGTATGAGAGTTAGTTTTACCAACGCTCTTATATGGGTGAAGCATGGGTGATGAATGTTGCAGCGGGAAAGGGGAGGCAGTAGAGATGCATGTCTGAGGGCAAGTTGGTGTAAATATAATGCAGAGAATTTCGGTTTGGAAGTTAGAAGGGGGTGCGGGATTCCCAAAACTGTTGCCGAGGGCTGAGGAAGGGTTTTTTGAGGTGGTTGGGAAAATGTAGAGAAAAATGGGGGCAAAACAGAATGCTTCAAGATTTTTATCGTCTGTAGGGGAAGGAAGGCAGGGTGGGGGTCGGCCCAGGAAAGGTTGGAGAGGGGGGGGAAAAGGAGGTTTTGGTCGAGGGCTTGGACTTCCGAAAGGTTGCATGAGCGTTTTGATAGGGGTGATGGGCAAAGGGTTTTTTTAATATTTGGTGCTGTTGGAGGTGAGCAAAGAAACTTTTGAAGGGTTTTCAGGGAAAACCGGAGGCCGGACTGAGCCCGGGAATGGGAAGTACAGTGCTGCACTTAAAGGGGGGGTGTTAATGTTGCAGTTTAAAAACTGTAGTGTAAAACACACTTCTGGCAAGACAGTGATGGAGGAATGTGGTGAAAGTTTTTTTTTTCGGGCCACCCTGCCTTGGTGGAACGGCCCTGTGATAATAAAAAAATAAAAAAAAAAATGTTGTAAATACATGCCTTTCGTGCCTTACCCCTGCCCCTTTCCACTGCCTTACAATGCCCCCTACCTGCCTCTATCACGCCTCTATCACTCCTCTAAACCCCCCTTATCACTGTTACCATGCCCCAACCACTCCAGCACACTCAATTACAAGCACCCAAAAATGAATTATTGTGAAATGTTTGGAAAAGGGAGGGAGACTAATGTTCCTCCAAAATAAAAAAAGCCACACTGACGATGTGCAACCCTCCCTCGTATTTTTTACAATTTCCCTTTTTCAATTATATCGTATTATTATTATTTTATTATTATTATTTTTATTATTATTATTATTGTTATTATTAGCGTAGCAGAAATGTTTGTTTTTTTGCTGTTTCAAGAAAAACATGATGTCACCCCTCCAAAACCCGTCCAAAAACCCTTCCCCAAAATCAGTCTGAATGTGTTTACATTATTTTAATGTATTTAATAAAAAATAATGAAAAACAAAATTTTCACCCCACTGATTGGTGGGAGGGCTGGTGCAGTTGCGGGGGTCGGAGGGGGGGTGTAGGGACTCGCAGGTGGGGGAAACTTGTATGATTTGGCGGTGGGAATTTGGTGGTGGGAATTTGGGGTTGGGAATTCGCGAATGTGTGAAACCCCCGAAAACTGAAAAAGTGAATGTGGGGAGACCGTATACATGGAGTGAATTGTATTGTAAAATTTTTCATCGCATACATTATTTTTACTTTATCTTTATGTTTTTCGACCAATGGAATGGGAGAATACCACTGGGAGGTCATCTGCCAAATGTTGATAACCCATACCTAAGTAAAGAGAAACAACTTGGAACATGTGTAAAAGTAATCCGCTGGGTGGCGGGTGGGTGGCCGGTGGATAGGTGGGGGGGTGGTTGCTGACTGAAAGTGGTCACTCTCTCTCTCTGTATCTCTCCCTCTCTGTATCTCTCTCTCTCTGTATCTCTCTCTTCTCTGTATCTCTCTCTCTCTGTATCTCTCTCTCTCTCTGTATCTCTCTCTCTCTGTATCTCTCTCTCTGTATCTCTCTCTCTCTATGTATCTCTTCTCTGTGTCTCTCTCTCTGTATCTCTCTCTCTCTGTATCTCTCTCTGTCTCTCTCTCTCTCTGTCTCTCTCTCTCTCTGTCTCTCTCTCTCTCTCTGTATCTCTCTCTCTCTGTAATCTCTCTCTCTCTGTATCTCTCCTCTCTCTCCCTCTCTCTCTCTCATCTCTCTCTCTCTCTCTCTCTCCCCTCTCTTCTCTCTCTCTCTCCTCTCCTCTCTCTCTCTCTCTCTGTATCTCCCCTCTCTCTCTGTATCTCTCTCCTCCCCTCTCTCCTCCTCTCCTCTCTCTCTCTCTCTCTCTCTCTCTCTTCGCAGGTACAACGTAAGTAAAGATATCATACATAGTATAAATTACCTAGGATAACCCAAAAAATCCAGACAAAGTGCTATACAGTGGATCTGTGCTCCAGTGCCCTAAATTAAAAAAAAACAAAAATTATTATTATTGCAATAATACATATGTACTAATATTATTATTATTAAACTATAATATAATCGTGTCCACTCATTACTTACCTTAAAATATTTGTAGTCTTAATGTAGAGTGAGAGGTGAGTAAACAAGATTAAATGAATAAATGAGAGAAAGAATGAAAGTAGAAGGTTCGCAAGTTATGTAAACAAATGTTGTCGTTGTTGTAGTTACCAGCCCGGATACAAATGGTTTTTGTTCACTCTGTCAAGCCGACCAGAAAAACATCTCATATTTGTTAATTTATATGTTTATATGTTATGTAGCATGTTTATTATATAATTTTGAAAAAAAAAATCATAGATGGATTAAGCAAAATGTCTATATTAACGTTTTATACACATTTAATGCGCCTCAGCGATTATTATTGTTTTACTTTCATTATAAATATGGTGTCTTCAATTACACTCTTAATGAGTGGCTCTGAGACAGAAAAGCAGACAGAAAGACAGACACAGGTTGACAGAAATACACACACGGTTAGACAGAGAGACACACACAGGTAGACAGAAAGACACACTCACAGGTAGGCAGAAAGACAGACACACAGGTAGACAGAAAGACATACACACAGGTAGGCAGAAAGACAGACACATAGGTAGGCAGAAAGACAGACACACAGGTAGACAGAAAGACAGACACACAGAGATAGACAGACACAGATATACTGGCAGACAGATACAGACAGGTTTATGTGCAACAGTGAAAACAAATAGAGAGTTCGAGAGTAAGAGCCTTTCTTGCCACAATCTCCAGTGCAAGATTCAGACTTCATCTTAGGGGCCATGGTGAAATTTACTGTCCAGTTAATACAGTATGATGCTGCTGATAGGGCAGGGTTACTCAAACTGATGCTGCCTGCATGACACATTGCCGCCGCGAGTATCGTCAATTATCATACAGCGGTGTGCATCAGCCGGCCCAGCCCAGCTGCCAGAAACACGGTCGTAAGTCAAGTGGACGTATGTCGAGCAGGTCGTAAGTCAGATGGTAGGTGTATTTTCTCGCATAGCCCTCCAAACGTAGATATATATTTTTTATGTGCTTTCCTATGGAAAAAATCAAGGTCGGAGCACTCTGTGCGCAAACGTAGATATACGTTTGGACAGTTTATGGGTTAAAAACAAGATTTGATAAAAAACTTTGTTTTACTTAGAATATAATGAAAGATGTTTCTTGAAAGAACTTTGATGGAAAAACTATTTGATGTGTTATTTGATCTTGTTTGGTGTTGTTTTCCATTTTAGATGATCTTCTGCCCCATGTTGTGGATCTGGCACTAAATTCAAGTGATCGTCAGACTAAAGTTGCTGCATCTGAACTTCTCCATTCTGTCATTATCCTCATGATTGGCACAGGTAAGTTCCTTAATCTTTATTTTGTTCATTGTTATCTTTGTCTTCACAGCAGCATTGTTCTTGTCGGTGGACAGCAATCATCCAGGGAGTTACTGTACTGCCATCCTGTTATACTGTACTGCCATCCTGTTATACTGTACTGCCATCCTGTTATACTGCACTGCCATCCTGTCGTACTGTACTACCATCCTGTCATACTGTGCTGCCATCCTGTCATACTGTTCTGCCATCCTGTCATACTGTACTACCATCCTGTCTTACTCTTCTGCCATCCTGTCATACTGTACTGCCATCCTGTCATACTGTACTACCATCCTGTCATACTGTACTGCCATCCTGTCATACTGTACTACCATCCTATCTTACTGTACTGCCATCCTGTCATACTGTACTTCCATCCTACCGTACTGTACTGCCATCCTATCATACTGTTCTGCCATCCTGTCATACTATACTACCATCCTGTCTTACTGTACTACCATCCTGTCTTACTGTTCTGCCATCCTGTCATACTATACTACCATCCTGTCTTACTGTACTACCATCCTGTCTTACTGTTCTTGCATCCTGTCATACTGTGCTACTATCCTGTCTTACTGTTCTGCCATCTTGTCATACTGTACTGCCATCCTGTCATACTGTACTGCCATCCTTTCATACTGTACTGCCATCCTATCATACTGTTCTGCCATACTGTACAGCCATCCTGTCATACTGTTCTGCCTTCCTGTCATACTGTACTGCCCTCCTGTCATACTGTTCTGCTATCCTGTCATACTGTTTTGCCATCCTATACTGCCATCCTTTCATACTGTTCTGCCATCCTGTCATACTGTACTGCCATCCTGTCATACTGTTCTACCATTCTGTACTGCCATCCTTTCATACTGTTCTGCCATCCTGTCATACTGTACTGCCATCCTGTCATACTGTTCTACCATCCTGTACTGCCATCCTTTCAGACTGTTCTGCCATCCTGTCATACTGTACTGCCATCCTGTCATACTGTTCTGCCATCCTTTTGTACTGTTCTGCCATCCTGTACTGCCATCCTTTCATACTGTTCTGCCATCCTGTCATACTGTACTGCCATCCTGTCATACTGTTCTACCATCCTGTACTGCCATCCTGTCATACTATATTACCATCCTGTCATATTGCATTGCCATCCTGCCATACTGTTCTGCCATTCAGTCATACATACTGCCATCCTCTTATACAGTTCTGCCATCCTGGCATATTGTTATTCCATCTTTTCTCATTGTGCCTATCCCTAAGCCCCAACAGCCTGATACATTTAGGCCGATCTCCTTAACTAGTTGTCTTTGTAAAAGTTTTGAGAGAATGATGCTTAACAGACTGTACCACAGAATCAGACATCAACTTTCCCCCTACCTCTATGGGTTCATGAAAGGTAAAAGTGTGCAGAACTGTATTTCCACCTTTCTCACTGCACACACCTCGACTAGTTTTACCACTTTTCTTGATCTAAAATCTGCATTTGATATTGCGAACAGAACCGTTATACTACATGAACTAGCCAAAATGAATATTGGTGGTAGCTTACTCTGCTGGATAATAGGATACCTGTCAAATAGAGTATCCTCTGTCCTTTACCAAGGCTTCAGAAGTGATTCTAAAGAAATGTCTTTAGGTACACAGGGAGGACAGGGAGGAGTTCTTAGTCCCATGCTATTTAATATTCTGATTAATGCTCTCCTAAATGCTCTACCTGCCTCACATAAACATATAGCTATAAGCTATGCTGATGATATCATGATCCATACAACAGGGCATAAGAAGATGAATACCATTCTTAATGAAGTTCAAGCAATTTGTAATCGACTAGGCCTCATAATATCTTCCTCTAAAACAAAGATATTAACAAGCAAACGACATCCCCCACCCATCTATTTGCAGGGTGAAATCATTAGCTACGTTAAAACTTACAGATATCTTGGTGTAGATGTACCCTTTAACAAATCCACTGAACCACAACTAAACAAGAAATGCAAAGCTAGGCTAAATGCTCTCAAAGCTGTTGCTGGCTACAATCCCAACTATGGTGCTAATGTGAGAATCGTGAGAATGATGTACATAGCCTATGTTAGGTCCTTAATTGATTATGCTGCTCCCATGTTGATATTAGCTAGAGAAAGTTCTCTCCGACCCTTGGAGTTAATGCAAAATGAAGCTCTCAGGATTATTCTTGGCTGTCCCAGATCTACAAAAGTTCTTAACATGAGGAAGGAGCTTGGTATTTCTAGTATCAGTGATAGGATTGTTGAAATTAACACTGTACTCGGTATTAGAATGTTGAGACACGAACCAGACACTGTCACAGTGAATCTTACCAAGTGTCTAGAGGTAAATACACACAGATCTAAATGGATTGTGAAAACGTGAATTGCATTAAGTTTTATAACCTGCATGAACTGTATCACTGTAGGCAACAAGAGCATTTCACCCCTCCATGGAAGATGTGTTCATTTAATATCACATACCTACAAGCCCCTCCCAAGAAGCTCATTGCTAGTAATCCCTTCCTTAAATCTCTTGTTAGAGCAACTGCTCAAGAAGAAATTTCTCACCTAGCTGGTAGTAATAAGTTTATCACAAGTTATATACACTGATGGATCTAAACAGGAGTCTTCTGGCAGGGCTGCATCTGCTCTTGTTGCCACCTCCCTAGTTAAGAACGATAATAAATTTGTTGAGTTAGGCATAAGAATTAACAACTGGGCGTCTACACTGCAAACTGACTTGTTTGCAATCCTAATGGCGCTAAAGCTAACCTATGACACTGAGCTTGACTCTATCATCATTACTGATTCTATGTCATCATTGAAGGCTCTTGACTCATATAATGACTCTAACAACATGCTCATTGGGGAAGCCAGGTATAGATACTCAAAAATTAGGGACAAAGGAATTAATGTACAATTGCTATGGATCCCATCACACATTGGATTACTCCTTCATGATAAAGTTGATATGTTAACCAAGAAGAGTACCCAGAAGGAGAATGTAGAATATAACTTTGGTATAACTGTGTCTAGCATTAGGAATAATATTAGAGAAGTAAATAATGAAAATGATTGTTATAGGAATGCAGTTAGAAGCCTGAGTAGATATATAACCCACTATGATAACATGAACGTAGATAAGTATGTTTATGGAGCAACTTGCAATGTGAACAGACTGACTGATGTTGTAGTGGCCAGGCTTAGGCTTGGTTACAAGTACTTCTGGCAGTTTGGGAAACACACAGATGATGATCAAACTAAATGTAAATTATGTGATCAGGCATATGGTCACTCTCTTGAACACTATGTGCTTAATTGTCCACTTATTGAGGAATACAGAGACAGACAGTATAATAACCTATGTGACATGTCAAGATATCTTATTAATGAAAATAAGATACCAGATATACTAGGCAAATTTCCTAAATTTGCTTGTAACAGATAAGTGAACTATAGATATGTAGATATAAATCCATATGTATTCCTGTTAACCCTTTGGGGCCTAGTTCCTAGGCCTTTTGTGTATCCATATGCTCTCGCGCTACCGTCCACAGGATGGATATGGGGTGCACAATAAACTAGCCACTTTGGTGCCAAATCTAATCTAATCTGTCATACTGTACTGCCATCCTGGCATACTGTTCTCCCATCCTGCCATACTGTACTGCCATCCTGTCATACTGTAATACCATCCTGCCATACTGTACTGCCATCCTGTCATACTGTTCTGCCATCCTGTCATACTGTTCTGGAATCCTGTCATACTGTACTGCCATCCTGTTCTGCCATCCTGTCATTTTGTACTTCCATCCTGTGATTCTGCAATGCCATCCTGTCATACTGTTCTGCCATCCTGTCATACTGTACTACCATCCTGTCATACTGTACTGCCATCCTGTTCTGCCATCCTGTCATTTTGTACTTCCATCCTGTGATTCTGCACTGCCATCCTGTCATACTGTTCTGCCATCCTGTCATACTGTACTGCCATCCTGTCATACTGTACTACCATCCTGTCATACTGCACTGCCATCCTGTCATACTGTACTGCCATCCTACCATACTGTACTACCATCCTATCATACTGTTCTGCCATCCTGTCATACTGTACTACCATTCTGTCTTACTGTTCTGCCATCCTGTCATACTGTACTACCATCCTGTCTTACTATTCTGCCATCTTGTCATACTGTACTGCCATCCTGTCATACTCTACTGCCATCCTGTCATACTGTACTACCATCCTGTCTTACTGTACTACCATCCTGTCTTGCTGTTCTCGCATCCTGTCATACTGTGCTACCATCCTGTCTTACTGTTCTGCCATCTTGTCATACTGTACTGCCATCCTGTCATACTGTACTGCCATCCTTTCATACTGTACTGCCATCCTGTCATACTGTTCTGCCATACTGTACAGCCATCCTGTCATACTGTACTGCCATTATGTCATGCTGTTCTGCCATCCTGTCATACTGTACTGCCAACCTGTACTGCCATCCTGTTCTGCCATCCTGTCATACTATACTGCCATCCTGTCATACTGTACTGCAATCCTGTCATACTGTTCTGCCATCCTATCATACTGTCCTGCCATCCTGTCATACTGTCCTGCCATTCTGTCATACTGTTCTGCCATCCTGTCATACTGTTGTGCCATCCTGTCATACTATTGTGCCATCCTTTCATACTGTTGTGCCATCCTTTCATACTGTTCTCCCATCCTGTCATACTGTACTGTCATCCTGTCATACTGTACTACCATCCTGTCATACTGTTCTCCCATCCTGTCATACTGTACTACCATCCTGTCATACTGTTCTGCCATCCTGTCATACTGTACTGCCATCCTGTCATACTGTACTGCCATCCTGTCATACTGTTCTCCCTTCCTGTCATATTGTACTGCCATCCTGTCATACTGTACTACCATCCTGTCATTCTGTTCTGCCATCCTGTCATACTGTACATCCA